GAGTGTGTTGACTTGGGTTAGACTCAAAAGAGTCTTCAGAGCATCAACATCAATTCCAACATGTCGGCCCCTGCCACCACAGTTTTCAAGGCTAAAGTTACCTGAACGAAATTTGCTGAACCATCGTCGATACTTACGAACGTTCAAAACATTTCCATAAATTACTTTGATATTCTTTGTGGCTACAGAGGCGTTATTTCTCTTCTTGTATTCAAACAGCATTACATGCCGAATGTGTGTCCCGCCGTGTACCATCACCATAAGGGATTAGAGTATACTAAACTTTACACATTATATAGGCTATACGAACGTGGCGTTTAGGTGGTTCGTTTAACTATTATACCTGATGTAGGTTTTTTCAGGGGTGGTTAATGAAAGTGTTCCAAAACGCGACATTAATTTCTGACGAAACAGGCTACTAATTATAAATTAATTACAGTACATTTAGGGACATAATAAAATTCTTACCCATAGCCATTTAAATATGCAAGACTAAACCTAAAGAATTTTTTTTCTGCTATATCAAAATAGAAATATGTTGTAGACGAAAAAACTCACTTTTCATTGGTGATCGTTTCCTCACACACATAATTGTTACAGCTGTGACTGATGCGACAAAAACGATCCCTCCAATCGATCCAGCAATTATGATTAGAGTTGGTATACTTTCTGAAAATTTTCTTATAAAGTATATACTAGATAAAACATGTCAGATCTTGCAAATTGATTACAATTGCTATCACTAACAGTCATTTACATGTTTTTAATCTAAATTTATGCTTCAAAGATCTGTTAAAAGTTTCTGCTCACCATGAATTTATTTTATTAAAGTTTTGTTATTATCATCCTAAGTTATCGAATTGATCAAGTTAACGATCCTTCTAAAAATTGGTTCAGTAAGACAGATAGAAAGATATTAGGTATCTTCCAATGTTCAGAAACAAGTTACTTTAACAAAGGTACAGATGTAGAAACTAAATCCAGATTACTTGTTTAAAGATGCAACTACTAAGCTGAAAAGATAAACAGTACAATTTTGTCTTAATCTTTAGTACCTTTAGTAAAGGAGGAACACATAAGCATCAAAAGCCAAAAATATATACAATTTAATCTTAAGAACTATATGTTTCAGCATAAACCATGCGTAAAGTTATTTTTAAAATCAAGCTCTTTTAACCTCATTACATCTTGCAAGAGAACAATAATTTCTTTTCTGGAATATAAAATAATTTACTTAATTCCATAGTTTGAAATTTTTACATTACAGTAATATTCGTCACTAGATGTAAGCTAAGAAAATAATTATGAATTACCACAGAATTCTATGATTAATAACACATTGTAATATATATTAGTTGCCAGTAGGTTAAAATGTTCATATAAGATAGTCCATGTGAGAGCAAAATGTCATGCATAACTTTCATCACGAATTTTTATATGTCATCGTGTTTTTTTATACATAACATGATAAAATGTACTAACAATCTAACCTTGTCTTTTCAACTGAATTAGAACACTGTCATGCCCATATTCGTTCCATACAGAACAGTTATACAGACCAAAGTCTTCGCTCTGAGCTTTATGAATCATCAGAAGGTTCCTCATTCCATTTTCCAGGGGCTGTTTAATTATCTCATAACCACGAGAGTTATCAATGTCTAAAATCTGTCAAGGAGAATTTGATGTTCAATAAAAACGTTACTCCATAAAACACGTAGATGAGTTTTGTAACTCTATAGCTTTAGTCAAAAATCAGTTACCTATATGTATGTATGCAAATAAATTGTTTATTTTCTGTTTTACTGTGTAGCTTCTTACTAAAATTATTATTTACTACTGTAAAGAGGAGTAACCGGTGATACTGTTCACCAGTAATTATTAAGAATTCCTGTTGAGAAGTAAGCAGTAATCCAAATCTAAGTAATCTAAATAAAATCTATAAGGCAATCTTAAAATTACTCAGTATTAACTGTCTTAGCTGTTCATCATATTATTTTATCAATTGCATAGTTAAAGAAGGAAAAGCATAGGTAATAAATACAATTGTTAGGTGGAAATGTTTACAAGCTGGCTTAATAAATATACATCCTAGTGCATAGGTAATAAATACAATTGTTAGGTGGAAATGTTTACAAGCTGGTTTAATAAATATACATCCTAGTGCATAGATAATAAATACAATTGTTAGGTGGAAATGTTTACAAGCTGGTTTAATAAATATACATCCTAGTGCATAGGTAATAAATACAATTGTTAGATGGAAATGTTTACAAGCTGGTTTAATAAATATACATCTTAGTGTTGAAATTAAACACAAGTTTCTTCCCTTCAGAAAGTAGATAATTTATCTGATTACACCCGAAACGGTTGTCCTGTAATACTTCGTGCTATCTCAAGAAACAAAACAGAAATGGAATTCTCACCTCAGAGTATTAAAATTATCCATTTTTCTAACACATGTTTAAGCTACAATATACCTATTTTCAGGCAATGAGATAAATTGTGATATTCTATATATGTGTCAAAGATTTATTTTCTTTCATTCCTTTTAAAAAAAATAGATATAAAACTGATTCAAAACACCATAAAAATTGTGATATTATTATTATGTCAAGTTTAATTACATAAATTAGAAGTAAAAGGCATTTATAGTACTGTATATCATTGTTGTTAGAAGGCATTAGGTGATGAAATTTTTTTTATAAATTCTGATTTGTAATAATTTTGGAAAATATTATTTATAGAGTATATATTTTATAAGATTATCATCATTTTACATCATCGTACTCACCAAATAGGTTAAAAAATATATTAAGCTATTAGAAAAATTAATTTTGCTGAATTAATCAAAATGTACATGATGGTCCACGTACATTAAACTAAGATGCATATTTATCGAGTTTTGGTAAAAATAACTGCGTTTCTGATTATCTTCAGTCCAAAGATTTCTATTCTTAAGAACATTAAAATATTCATAAAACAAATACCCTGGTTTGACTTAATTAGAAAACAATTAAATGAGTTTTAGTTTGTTCTGTGTTTTAATAATAATCAATTCCAATATGTCGTCGCCACTCTTTATTTGAAATCTTAGAAGTTTTATTAATTTCCTAGAGACGTTTAATCGTATAAATATTTGTATTTTTTACTTATGGCAAATCTACTAAGGCCTATCTGTCGCCTTTCCTAATTTTAAACTACTGGTCAGAAGGAAGGTAGCCAGTTAGCAGCATCCTACCACCCACTATTAACGCTAAGCGATTGACTGTCGCTCTTATGATACACCAGTAGATTACAGGCGAGGAATAGTTTGTGTTATCGCATGGATTTGAGTCCGGCTCACCAGCTCTGAAATCCAAAGCTTTATCCCAGGGCCAAACGGCGCTCTTTATGGGTTAATCACACTTCATTAGAAAAGTCTGGGCATTCTAATGCAATGATGTGTCACCGCAGATGCTAGCTGTGTCTCCACGGAGATATGTTTAACATTAATGCAGCTGGTTTACGATACTGCCGCTACGTGTGGAGTTACTGCTGGAGGATACTGTTACAGTCCTTTTCGATGATAGATATTCGTTTAGTGAAATAGCGAAACTGAGATCACAACAATCTTATTGCCAACTTTACATATGTTTGTGAATATAAATCAGTAAGAGAAGATCAACATACAAATTGAGGATGTAAAACACCGTCTAACCAGAATTCTACCACATACAACCCAGAGTGCTAATAGATTGATCGTTCAGAAATCTCTCAAAATCAACCATGCACAAGAACATTCACAAATATTTTGTCCTTATATAGAAGCAGAAACCGGCAATGTACATGATTTTCCCAAGGAACATCAGTAAGCAAATGGTAGAAAACTGAACAAAAAATATCTTACACATCAAATGTTCAGTTTGTTACAATGTGAAGGAGAACTGGTGTATTTGGACGTGTACAGCAAAGGAAGTTACAGCTAATGCAAATAATGTTTTTCTAGCGGACTTTAAGGTGTTAGCAAGTTTTGTTTTTTCATATATTAGAAAATTGAAACTTCAAAAAAGGCTCAATAAAGCAAACATGAACTTTAGTTACTATCAGGAGAACGTACTGACACTAGTAATGCGAGACGACTTTCCTGTAAGGTATAACAAGTAAACCAATAAGATATGGCCATATTAAGTTTATTTCATTCTTCTGGTTCGTAGAAACGCAGCTGTGGCTTACTTATGTGATGATTTTTTTATCCCTTTCTCTGGCCTGTCTGTGAATATTCTTGCTACTTACCCATGGACTTCTGCAAATTTAGTTTTTTAGACGTAATCATGGAAATGACGTCTACGGACAGTAGTTTCTAGAAAGTTTGTCAAGATGTGTGATCTGAAGTTGATTTCTCTGTCTTTAGCAGAAGCGTGTATTTATGGTCATGTGACTGAGCAGAATCCATAAAGCAACATCGTTTTTATGGTTTTGTTTGTTTGGAAGTTCGCGCAAAGCTACACCAAGACTATCTGCACTAGCCGTTCCTAACTTAACAGTGAAAGACTAGAGAGAAGGCAGATAGTCATCATCACCCACCGCCAATTCTTTTACCAACAAATAGTGGGATTGACCACACATTATAACGTCCCAATGCCTGAAAGGGCGAGCATGTTTGGTGGGACAGAGATTCGTAGGCGCGACCCTCAGATTGCTAGTCAAGCGCTTTAACCACCTGGCAATGCCAGACCCTCGATTCTATGAATAGTTTATTTTCAGACGCATTGTGCTACTTTATGTTAAGAGTAGAAAACAACATCGACGTTCTTTTTGTTTCAACTGATTATTTTCGGTAACAGTTACCATCATCAGAGCTTGTGACTATACTGTAAGTTAACACTGCAGTCACAATTCCTGATAATGGTAACTTTGAAGCTAGTTGGCCGAAACAACTTATAAATACTTTATATTTCATTCGGTTTTATTTTTTACTCTCTCTAATGTAAAGTTTTCAAGAAACTGCGATTAATTATTGGTATCTTATTATCGCTTGTAACGCACGAATGAATATTTTGTGATTTGAAGAGTTTAGAAATACCAAAAAAAAAGAAGCTATATTTCTAAATCAAAATCTACTCCCTCCCCTTAATATAACCTCCATAAAGGACTTAGAATTTATTAAGGAATAATAGGAATAATAAAGAATTCAAAGTGATTTGATGTTTTAAGCAAATTTATCATACTTTGAAGAGCTAAATTTCCAAAGAGTTTCGATTACTTAGAACGATTTGAAGTTTTTCTCTTCTACGTTAGATATTAGTCACATCAGCTTTAGACGAGTTATTTTAACACCAAGTAAATCAGAAATTGAGTCTAATTTATTATTTTGAAAGTCAACACATGATTGCCGTTGGGACGAAAAGGGGGGAATATATCAATCAGAGACTTTCGTTTTCTAGGTCTTCACTATCATTTTTGTTCATAAGATCAATAATAAACCAGAATAAGCTTACAAGAAACTATCAAGCGAGGATTTATGTATATATACGAATAAAGCGATTTGCTGAAAAAAAAAAAATCAGTGTCTAGAGACGAAAAGGGATTGTAAAATATATATTAACAGAATTAAACTTTTTAGTGAAAAGAGTATTTTTAAGAAAAATGATGTCTGACATTCTTCTTCCATACTAACATATATGCGATGAATACATATCTATATGCTAAATATTGACTGACTTCTGATTTACTAAGAAAATGATCCATCGATCACCAGAAAGTCATGCCCATGGATTAGCTTTCCCTTTGCAAAGAACATGACAGCAATTTTCAAGAGTCATCAATATTTTTTGCAGCTTATTTGACATTTCTTTGGATTCATCGTCGGATGGTTGTCAGTTCGAGGTTGGTTTGCTTCATGCCGTTGTGTTCTTGAGCAAGACACTTATTCTAGTCTGACCTCAACTCAGCTGTACGATAGGTACCTAACTGTTAACTGGGAGTTACCATTCTCATCCGCTTGTGTCATTGGGAATGGAATTCGAAAGCACCAGTCTCAATGTGTCATGCAAAGACACGGCAAGGATTTAACTTATAATTAACTAACTAATATATAAACAAATTAATAATACGGGTATTTTGAAAAACGTCAACAAGAAAAACACAGTACGTTTCTTTACGTTAAACAAAAGAATGAAGTTAATCTAATTTATATCAATGTAATGTTATATTATCAAGAAAATAATCATCGTTATCGTCCAAACAGTACTTAAAATAAACAAGTATTTCTGAACAACAAAATAACCTGTTTTCCACGCTCTATGCAACGGGGCAAAATAAAAAAAATACTTCAAATAATTTTTAACATTGTAAAAAGTTACAATTATTTTAAGAAGAAATCTTGTCCTTGCGGTGAAAAATATTATTAACGTGATTGAGGTTCTTCATAAAATATATGTATATAATTACAAATAATCATTGCGATTCTTTGTAATTACTATTAATTACAAACATACTTCCACTAGACATTTGTAATTACTATTAATTACAAACATACTTGCACTAGACATTTGAAGATTACATTGGTATAAACAATAGTTGTGATAAAACAGTATTTAACGCTTGGACAACAATACCATGAAAATGATTCAGCTTTAGATAATAATTTTAAAATGAAATTAATTAAGAACATCTGCAGTAAACATATCTAGTTATTTCGGTTTCCTGTCTAGAGCTTGTGACTAATGTGTCCAGACTGTGAACCAGAGTTCATTATTCGCGTCCCTTTGGAGCTGTAAGTGTGCTGTAATAGTGATAGTCAAATCTCACTATTCGGTCTGAGAAGAGTTGGCGGTGGCTATTACTGATTATCTGTCTTCCCTCTAGTATATCCGTCTTGTAGGTTAAACCAACTAAAGACATTAACCAATGACCTTATAACCACCTGGAAGATACATATGGTATTACTAAAAGTAGCATTGATAACACAGGCTTGCGAATTCAAACTTCATAAAAGTTGGTTTGGTTTTAATAACGGATTTTCCATAATTCAGATAGACAGATTTCGAAAATATTATTAATTTTTTTCTATCACATAAGGATCTTTTACATATCGGGAAGAAACAAATAATTCTTACTTAGATCAAATTATTATTTCGTTTACCACAGTGAACATTTTTTGTT